GGCAGGAATCACAGCCTGGGGGGGAAACCACATTTCCTGGGTGGAAATCATGATCTGGCAGGGGATTGCAGGGCCAAGGTGGGGCAGGAGGGCTGTTGAGGGCTGTTCAGGAAGGGGCGGTCAGGACCTGGCGGAGGGCAGGTACAAGTGTGAGCGGTTGGGGAGGGAGTTACACGGCCCAGAGGGGAGATCGTTGCACGGGCTGGGGAGAAGTGAGTTCCAGGGTCTGGGAGGGGTTTGAAGGGCCGGAATGGGGGTGAGTCTGGGAGGGGGTTCAGGCCTGGGGAAGCTGCAGGGCCTGAGAGGGGGTTTGCCCGTCCCGAGGGCGTGTGAAGCACCCCGGGGCGAGGGGGGGGGAAATCCCTGCCACTCCCTGCACCCCCGGCATGGGGGGAGTGCGAGCAGCAGGCGGGTGGGAACCCTGGGGTCTCGCACGGCCCCTCCGAATCCCCCCAAAATCCCCCCCGATCCGCCCCGCTCCCCTCACGCACCTCCGGCCGCCGCGCGCGCCCGCCCCGCCGCTACCACCGCGGGCACGGGCGGGGGGGAACGGGCCGGGCCGGGCCGGGCGGCACCACCGCCCACCCAGCGCGGGGGGAGCCCCGCGGAACCGCGCCGCGACCACACGGCTCGGGTCGGGTCGGGTTGGGTTATTTATTTGTTTATTTATTCTGTGCTCATTTCTTCCAGAACTGCTTGTAGGTCTCCAGGTCGATGCCCTCGAAGGTCTCCTCGGTCCTGGGCTTGGGTTTGCCGGGGAAGTGCCGGCGCAGGCGGGCCTTGCGCTCGGCCTCGGGCAGCGTGGTGCTGTCCAGGGGCAGCTGGGGACACGGGGACACGGCGTGAGACACCGGCACACGGCGCGACACCCGCCCCAGGACACCACGTGAGACCCCCGGGGCGTGGCGCGAAACCCCAGGACGCGAGATGAAATCCTGGGGACACAATCCTGCGAGACCCCAAAGACACGACACGAGCCCCTCAGAACGCGATGTGGCACCCCCCCCCGGGACACCACACGAGTCTCCCGTGCCCACCCTCGCCCTCCCCGTACCATGAGGATCCTCCTGGGCTCCCGGTAGCGCAGGCGGGTGGTGGAGCCGTCGGTGCCCACGAGCAGGACGGGGTAGAGCCGCCCGTAGTGCTGCCGGTGCAGGTGGGACACGGCGGCGCGGTTGGAATTGCTGCGGGTGGAGGCGGCCAGAGGGAGCCGGGACACGGCCCGGGGGCACAGGACACTGTGGGAACGGGGACGCGGTCACCGTGGGAGTGACGGGAACCCCCGTCCCACAGCACAGAGCCGGTGCTGTCCCGGGGGGGTCCCAGACCCTCCGCGCTCACCTCAGGGCTCGGCTGGCGGCCATCCCAGCACAGGCGGGACACTCGGGGTCTCCACGGAGCACGGGACACAGCCCAGCGACACCCTGGGGACAAGGAGAGAGCTCCTACGATGGCACCAGGGAGACCCTCAGCACCCCCTCCCTGTCAGGGATCAACCCCCACGACAGCTCCTGGCAAGGTTTGGCTCCGCGATGGCTCCCCCCATTCTCACGTGGTTCAGTCCACCACATCTTCCCC